GTCAGGTTCCCCATCTAGAAAACAGGGATGCTAATACCCACCTTGCAGGATGGTAGGGAAGATTTTACGGAACGTGCACCTGGCTAGTGGCTGGTGGTCCGGGAACTGGGCGCCTCCTTCCCGGGCCTCTCAATCCTCCCCACCCTCTGGCAGGACCCCTGCTGCTCCTCAACCTCCCCTTCTGGCTCTAGTTACTCCTTGGGCTGGAGCCCTCAGGACTTGTAGAGAGGGGTCCCCGACCCACAGAAAGTGGGGACTGGGGGGGGGCGCTGAACTTTCGAACCCGCAACCCCCCCGCGCCGTTCATTACCTTAACGCGAGTTAAAAATAACCGTCTCATCTCTTTAAATTAGTCTGTCTGCAATTACCGCCTGGCACGGCGCTGCCCGCCATCGTCCCGCTGGAGCGGCGCCAGGTGGCAGGCGGGGCCCTCACCCTGTCTGTCGGTCTGCCTGCCTCCCGGTACCCGCCTCTTCACCGCCCCCCGCGCCAGCGCAGCTACCCCTCCGGGGCTTCCCAAGTTATGGGGGGAGGGGGCCAGGGCCTCGGAGCCGGCAGGAGTGAGGGGGTCCTCGGGGAGCTTAGGACTGGGGTGGGGGCGCTGGAGCATGGCGATGGGGGAGGGGAGCTGGGAGGCCCGGGGAGCAGGAAGGCCCGGGAAGCCGGAAGGGCCCGCAGCGCGCCAGCGCTCGTGGGTGGGTGTGAGCAGGTGGCCGTGGGAGTCTGCCGGGCGTGCCAGCAACTGTGCCAGGAGCGGCTGGCACGGGCTCGTGCCCAGGAGGCGGGCAGCTGCCAGCACCCCGCTCGTGCAGCGAAGGGGGTGAGGACACCCCCCCCACAAGCCCGGGGCTCACACCGCCTCCTCCCGCACCCCCACAAGCCCCTGGGGCTGGGGATCCCCGTAGGACAAAGGAGGAGGGTGCCCCGCTGGAGCAGGCTGAGGGGAAGAAGGAAGGGGGAGCCCCCTATACTCACAACCAACGCTCTGCTGGGGCTATAGGAGGGCACTCCTCCTGGCCTCTTAGCCCAGCCCCTCCTTCCAGCCCCCACCCCACCTGGGACCTTCTGGGCACATGCAGGTAGTACTACCACCCCTTAAGAACCAGGCTGCTCCAGCATCTGGGACAGGGCAGCTCCAGCCCCAGCCCCTGAGGGAGGAGGGAAGTCCCCATCCACTGCACTCCCCCCCACACGGCCTGGAGAAGGAATGGGAGGCGCCTGGGCCTGGCCTGGAGCTCCCAATGGAGCTGGCAGCCAGGAAACACAAAAGCAGGCAGAACAACTCCTGGGGTGCTAAGTGGAAAGAGCACCAGGACCCAGAACAGCCTGGAAGGCTTCCCAGAGGAGTCCAGGGCTAGGGAAGGTGAAGCTGGAGCATCTGAGGGAAAGTGGAAGGCCCTACCCAGATAGCCATACTCCTGGGCCACAGCAGAGGCAGGGGTCCTCCTGTCCAAGCCCTCATCCCAGGCGTGGAGACCCTTGCCCCAGGGGAATACTACCAGCCTCTTTGGCCAGTTGGCAGCACTGAGCCCAGCCCCTCCCTAGGCCTCAGCCCTGGTTTGGGTGTCCTGCGCCTGCCAGAGTCTTGCCTTTTCCAATTCCTCCCCTCAGCACCACCCCGCTGCCTCCCCACATCACACAGGGCAACAGCCAAGCACTTTAGCCCTTCCTGCTCTGGCCAACTCCATCTTGGCCATGCCACCTTAGTGCCTTCAGCGCCAGCCTGGCACACCCAAGCTATCCCCCAGATCCAGCCTGCACATTTCTACCTCCCTGCCTTGGCATGTGCAGTCATCACCCCCTGGAAGGCTTTCTCGCAAATTCTACCCTCCTCAGTGAAGGCGGAGCCCTAGTGGCACAGTGGTTAAGCTGCTAACCAAAAGGTCAGCAGTTCGAATCTGCCAGCCGCTCTTTGGAAACACTATGGAGCAGTTCTACTCCGTCCTGTAGGGTTGTTGTGAGTTAGAATCAACGTGACAGCAGTAGGTTTTTTCCAGTGAAGGCCCAGATCAAGTGCCACCTCCTCTATGAGGACTTCCCTGTTCCCTGGGGCATCAAGCCCACCACCATGCCAGCCCTTCTTGTCTGTAAAACACAGGGTCGACCTGAGCACCAGAGCACCTTTCCATGGGTCCCCCGACCCTACGTAACACAGGTTTGGCACACCCCAGGGATTCAAGTGTGACACTTGTGGGGGAGGGCAGGGAGGAAGGAACAATGGGCCCTGGCCCCAGCCCTGACATCTGAAGTGTACCACAGCGCCTGTCAACCTGAGCTTGGTTGGGAGTTGGGGGTGGCCCCCCGACCACGTCTCTGGAGGGGTTGACTGGGAATGGGGGGCAGGATATAGGCACAGGCAGCCCCAGGCATGAAAGAGGCTTCCCAGGGAGCCTGGGTGGGGTAGAAGGACAGCTACTGAAGCGACATGATGGGGCAGCCAGAGACCCCTTTATTTTAAAGAGCCCCTTCCAATGCCTGGGTGGTCTCTGCCAGGACCTAGGTCAGGAGCCCAAGCCAGAGGCTCCCTCTCCAGTTCCCCAGCCCAGGGCTAAGCCTCCCAGGCCTCCTTCCTTCCAGACCCCAGGTGCAGGGAGTACCAGCATGGTGCAGTGGAAATCACATCCAATGGGCAGGTTGGAGACCTGGGTCCTCATCCAGGACCTGCTGCTTACTGATGACCTGAGAAAAGTCCCATCCCCTTCCAGGCCTCAGTCCCCGAGTCTGAGAAATGAACTCGTGGGACTCAAGTTTTTCCAAGCACATTCCCAGCCACATTCTAGGATTTACATCTGCCCTTGTTCAAAAGCCTTGGCGTCCCCCCGCCCCCCCTTCTCAGCCCCCAGCTGCAGCAGGATACTGTTCTCGAGGCTCTTTGAGGCATCTAGAAGTTCAAGGAAGAGAGCCCGGGCTCTGGAAGGAGACACACCTGGGTTGGAGTCCAGCTTTCCCATCTACTGAATGTGTGACCTTGGGCAGTTCACTCCTTCACTTTGGGCCTCAGTGCCCTCCTCTGTAAATGGGGCAGTAAAACCCACCTCAGGGACTGTTGAGAGCATTAAGGAAGATGTGAGAAGGCACCTGGCACAGAGTTTGGCCCCAAGACTCAATAAACTGCAGTCCTCTCTCCGCTTCTAGCCTCACGTACCCTCTTTCCATCTTCCCTGTCCTCCCCATCAAGCCCCAGCTGGAGCTCCACCTCCTACAGGAAGCCCTCCTGACCTACTCCTCTGCCTCAGCAGCATCTGCACCATCCACAAAACATAACCACCCATTTCTTGTCTCTGCCACCACAGCATAAGCCCCTTATGGTCACTGTTTTTGCCAGACATGCACTGGTGGCTCCTTGGTGGTGCCAGGCTCTATGCTGGGTGCTTCAGGCACAGTGATGGCTATGACACTGCCACTGACTTCCAACCGGGGGGGTCGAAAAGGGAAATGAGATAGGACACAAACGACTAAGACCCAAGGCAGGCAGAGAAAGGACCAGAGAAGGGGATGCCCTAAGCTAACTAAAACAGATTAGGGAAGGCTTCCTGGAGGAGGCATCTGGACCTGTGCCCTTGAAGACAGGGACTATATCTACAGGGAGAGGTGGACGGTGGGACAAGCCATGGGGAGCAGGGACGGAGGTAGGAGAAAAGCCCAAGGGCTGGACACACTTGGGAGGAATGTGTTCCAGTGGGGGTTGAGCCTAAGGGGAGTAGAGAGGGGGTGGGGAAGGAAACCCATGTCTGCTTCTCCAACCTGTGCCCCTTACCCCCACAGTGGCCAGCAGCTGAGATGGTGAAGCTGCCAGTGTGAGGCCTGAGAGTCTTGGGCTCCCAGGTAGGGACACGTGGTCCTACACTGCAGCCACTGGGCATCTTGAGCCACCCATGTGCACAAGCCTTCACCCCTCCACCCCAACTTGTATACCTCTTTGCTCTGACCCTGTCTGCTCCCACCACAGGTCACATTCCATGCCTCCCTCAAAAAGATCCCTTACCCCATAGGGAGTCTGACACTCACTCCATGATAGCTCTTCTCTGACAGCTCACCCCCTAAGAACAGCCACCCAACCTCCTCTCCCCCAAAAGCAGACTATACCCATTCCCCAATAAGATGGCCAGAGGAGGAGCTGGGTCTGGAGGCCACAATCCAGTCAAACCTCTGCCCTCTCTCAAGATGGCCCCCCCAAGTGCTGGCACTGAGGCCTCCCTGGGGCTCCCCTGCCCCTCCCCCACCCCCAAATGCATCTGGGCTCAGAAAGCTAGGGTAGGGGAAGACAAGCAGTCTAGGGAGGGCAGGGAAGATTCCCCAGCCCACAGCACCCTGCCCTCAGACCAGCAGGGGTCATCACCACCACCCTCAAGCTAATCCAGGTAAGGCTGGGGGTGGGGCAGTTGCCCTGTGGAGAACTCAGAGCTTCCCAGGTCACATGACAAAGGTCCCCCACTCCAGGTAGGCCGGTACCCTAAGGTGAACTCCTGGCACCATAGGAAGAACTGTGGGTCCAGGGTCACAATCTGTCCTGGGGCCAGCTCCAGAAAGAGCTGTCGGAAAGATTGGGGCGGGGTGGGGCGGGGGGGCGCTGGAAGCAGCCATTGGCCCCAAGCCGTTATTCCAGCTCTTCAAGAGGGTGCCCTGGTGGCAAGGGTAAAACAAGAGTAACACAAAGCGAACTCGCCTGGGTAAGGGGGGTCCCCGATGTTCCTCAGCTGTGCCCTCAAGGTCGGGGTGGGGTGTTACATGGCCAGAGTCCCTCGAGGGCTACTCAAAGAGGCAGTCCCTTGTTGCCCCAGCAGACCTCCCACCGGGCGTCCAGGGAACACACACAGCTACTCCCTGCACGCCCCCGCCCGTCCGACGGCCAGCCCCAAGTCCTGGTCACACACTCAGTGACACCTGGGGCGCCCCAGAGGCCCTCCCAACGGCCCGTCCCGTGCCCAGGTGCACACAGCAGGCCCCTAGAAGCCCTAGCCGGTGTCGCCAGCTCCCCATCCCCAGCTGGACGTCCCCACCTTCCAGCCAGCTGAGCTGTTGCTGTCGCCTTTATCCTTGAAGTAGGGCACGTAACGGACCATCCAGTCGTAGATCTGTGAGAGCGTGAGCCGCTTGTCCGGGGCGCTCTCGATGGCTTTGGTGATGAGGTCGGCGTAGGACAGGTTTCCCCACGCGTTCCGCCGGGAGCTCTTCGCTTTCCGCAGCGGTCCGACCTCCGCGCCCAGCGGCGGCGCTGGGGCCATCGCCGGTGCTGTCGCCCGGCGCTCCGGCCCGCAGTCCTCGGCGACCTCAGCCACCCCAGCGCCCAGCGCTCGGTCGTCGTCGCCGGCCAAGTCGGGCTGCGGCAGGGGCCACGTACACGACCGCGGACGGCTCTGCGGCGCGAAGTCCGGGTCCACGTCCACCTGATGCGCTCGTAGCTTCGCAGCCATGGTCCCGCCCGGCTCCGGCGAAGAGGGGAGGGAGGCTCCGCGGAGGGTGGGCGGGCGGCTCCGGGATCTGCTCGCCCAGGGGAGGCCCGCGGGAGGGGTCCCTGGCGGCGCCGGCTCAACCGCGGGGCGCCATGGACCAGAGCGCGGAGGCAGGGGACTGGACGCACTGGGGAGCACGAAGGGAGAGAAAGATGCGGGGAGTGAGGGGGCGGCGGCCCCGGAGCCCAGCGGGCACACACCTCGCCCAGCCCCGCTTCTAGCACCTGCCGCCTGCCTGCGCCTGCAGCCACCACCGCCACCGCCGCTGCCGCCGCTCCCCGGGCGCCGGCCCCGCGCGCGGGCCCCGCTCTCCCGGGACAAGGCCGGATTGCACCATGCCGGAGCCCGAGCCCGTGCCGGAGCCCGTGCAGGAGCCCGCGCCGCCGCCGCCGCCGCTGCCGCCCAGTGAACGCCGCCGCCGCCGCTCCGGCTCCAGCGCCAGCTCCCTCTCCCGCCGCGCTCGGGGCCGGCTGCACCTCGGGATGGGCGGGGGACAGGGAGGGGGCGGGCCCGGAGGGGAGGGGCGGGGCGTGCACGCCCGCTGCCGCGGAATCCTCCGCCCGCCGGGTGCCCAACCCACAGGCTGGGGGTGGGGGCGCGGAGCTGTCAGCTCTGGGCAACCTCGCCGCAGCCCCTGCACGCAACAGCGCCGCCTACGGAGCAGGGGTGGAGCGGCGGGCACCGACCCCGCCCCCTGCACGGTGCTCGGGGAGGGAGCTCAGGGGCGGAGCCCGAGCTCTCCCATTGGCCCGAGACAGGGCTGCTCCGCCCATGGACTCAACAAGATCCCGCCCAGAGGCGCATCAGAAGGTTATTGTTACAACCCAGGGTTTCCCGGGGCAACGGGGATGAGGCGGGGCTCACCGCACTGGCCCCGCCTCTATCCCCCCCGGGGAAAAATGCCCCGCCCCTTGTTTCTAGACCCTTGGTGTTTCCCTGCCTTCATTCCAGTAACCTGACGGGGTAGCTCAGACCCTCCTTTGTGCCCTGGACTGGGCGGGGCGAAGGAATGGGTCAAGAATACCTGGGTTCTAGATCAGGTTTTGGCATAATTTTAGTTTCTCCATCTGCAAATGGGTTCTCTAGGGGCGATGTAGCAGAATCACCTGGGGGACTTGATGAAACAGATTGCTGGGTCCCAGCCGCAGAGTTTCTGAGTCAGGAGGTCTGGCTTGGGGTCCGAGACGTTGCATGTCTAGCATGCTCCCAGGTGATGTACCTGGGACGCCACTTTAAGGGATCACTGTGTCAGAGTCTTTGGAGCCCTGGTGGTGCAGTGATTAAGAGCTTGGCTGTTAACCAAAAGGTCTGCAGTTTGAATCCGCCAGCCGCTCCTTGGAAGCCCTATGGAGCAGTTCTACCCTGTCCTATAGCATTGCTATGAGTCGGAATGGACTTGATGGCAACTGGTTTATGTTAGAGTCCTTACAGGCTCTTTCAGGGGCTGTTGGAACAAATACATGGTGTTTTGGAAAGGGTGCTGCTCACTCATTTAACAGATATTTATTGAGCACCTTTGACATCCCTGGCTCTGTCCAGGGCACTGTGGAAAGAGCAGCAACTGAGACCTAAAGGGCTGGTGGCGGAGGCAAATGTTAATCGGATCATCACGGGGCCCCAGAACGGAGAGGCTGATTGAGAGGTTGGGCAGCCCATGACCTCATCCCACAGGACGCTGAGCTAGGCTTCCAGCTACCACTTCACCTCCCAGTCTTTGCTCAGGGTATCCCCTCTACCTAGAACACCTTTCCCCTCCCCAGGGCACTCATCTGAGATCTTCCCTTTCTTTAAAGCTCAAGAAGCCCTGGTAGCGCAGTGGTTAAGAGCTCAGCTGCTAACCAAAAGTTCAAAAATTCGATTCCACCAGCCACTCCCTGGAAACCCTGTGGGGCAGTTCTGCTCAGTCCTATAGGAATCAATTTGATGGCAATGGTCTTGGTTTTGGATTTAAAGCTCAAATGTCTACTTATCCCTGACACCTTCTCCAACCCCCAACTCCCAGTACTTGTCTCTGCTCCCTGCTTACCCAGACCACTTGCTGCTCAGTCAGTAACAACTTGTGTCGCTTTAGCACAACATTTCTGTTTTGTCAATGAGGAGACTGAGACACCGAGCAGGGAAGTTACTTGCTCAGATGGCATCGCCAGGACTAGAATCCCAAGCTCTGATCCCCTGATACCCAGCCAATGCCTTACTCCTAGACAGATGGAGACTGTGATCTGCAGGGCAAACCAAAACCAAACCCAAACCACTTGCCGTCAAATCGATTCTGACTCATAGTGACCCTATAGGACAGAGTATAACTGCCCCATAGGGTTTCCAGGGGGCAGCTGGTGGATTCAAACTGCCGATCTTTTGGTTAGCAGCTGAGTTCTTAACAACTGCACCACCAGAGCTCTGATTTGCAGGGCAGGAGATGTAAATTCTCTGGACGGCAGGGAGGGCTGGGCCCATGTCCCAGGACACAGCCCTCCTTTCCCAGTAAAAATTCCTTCCTTCCAGCTTAGGTCCCCAGGAGTAGGACCAAGGGTGAGGGTGGCCCCCCAGGGTATGAGCAGACCTAGCTTGCAGATGCCTGCCATGGTATCTGCCTGAATCTCATGGGACTGTTGCCTGTCCTCATCCCCCCATACATAAACACAACCTCCAAGTTGTTCTGTTTAGAGTCATAAGGGGACTAAAATCACTGCCGGATCCCCTCCCAAGCTCTCATATGCCTCCCTGCCTAAAGTCCCACACAGGGGCTGCTCCCTTAGGTACCCTGGAGGCCTAGCAAGTCTCCTGCCAGTCTTAAACCTTGGCCTAGACTGTGCTGTGAGATGGGGCCTGCTGGAGACCATACCAGAGATGAAAGGATCCTTAGCTGGGGGCCCTGGCACCATCTGCTGGAGCACTTGGGTTGCCACTGCGGGGCTGGGAAGCCAGGTTGGCAGAGATGCCTTCGAGCCTGACTCAGGCTCTGCTCTGGCCCCTGCCCTGCCCAGTGTCAACAGCTGCCGCCTGGACTCTTCTCTGGGACCCACGTCTGGCACACTAGGCCCCCACACTCCCAATACACACACAAACTCACACCCGCAAACACACGATGACCCCCATTCTTCACTCACACCTTGACCCCTGCTCACACATTCCTTATGAGACAGTAGAATGTAGTGATTAAGTTACTTAACTGCTCAAAGCCACTGTTTCCTCATCTATAAACAGATAACCATAATAGCACTCCCTTCATAGGATTGTTGAAGAATTAAATACGATTATGAATGTCAACACCAGACCCCAAGTAAGTACTCAAAAAATGCTAGCCATTATCATTACTATTGTTGTTGTTCACACCTATCTTCCCTTCCTACGGTCCCACCTGCTCTCACCAGCTCACACACACACTTGCACATGTCCCCTAGCCTTGTGTCCCATTTACAGGGGCCCATACCTTCCCACAGTACCTGTGGGCACCGAGCTCCACTCCCCTCCCCGACGCTTGCTTTCAAGCTCTGGTTTATTCTCCCTACCTCTCCCACATTCATTCTTGCTCACAAACAAGCCCCCCACTTGCTCACCCTTTCACCCCTCCCCTTTCCACATGCAGGCACACTTGCTTCCACTCACACCTTCAGTGTACTTAAACATGCTCACTTTTCAATGCATGCACACTCGTTGGCTCACACACTTACAAATGTGTGCTTCACCTAATCAACCAGTTCTTGGATCACAACACTTGTGCACACACACCCAGAACAACCCCAGTGCACACCGCAAGACCTCAGTTAGTCCGCCCCCTCCCAGTGACAATGAGCACACGCCACACAACTCTCCCAATGCCATGGGCACATCGCCCCCCTCAGCAGTGGCACTCTCCCCACAGGACTGTGTCCTCCTGGCTGCTTCCCCTCCTCCAAGCTCAGCTCCCCAGCCCCTCCCAGCTCTCAGAATAGCCCCTGCAACCGCCACCACTGCCACCACTGCCGCTGCCACTGCTGAGCTGTCAGGACCCGCCAAACCCTGTTTCCCCAGTGCTCAGTGCCAGCTTGCCAGGCTCATGCAGGGCAAGTGAGGACAGGAGGACAGGGTGCTCTGGGGCCTGATGGGCACAGCTGCTCTGCTCCCCCAAGAAGCCCCTTCCAGAGCCCACCTGGAAGACAGTCTGGTCTCAGGCGAAGCCACTGCCACTTGCCCAGAGTCTCCCTAGTCCCCAGTGGGCCTTGCCTGTGCACCCTGGTCCTCATACTATTCTGGTGAAGGCAGAGAGGGCTGCCTCCCTGTGATGGGCTCAGAGAAACCGAGGTCCCGGAAGGAAGAGGATTGCTCCAGGTAGTACAGTGAGTTGGGAGCAGAGCCAGGCCCCAACCAAACGTTCCCAGCCCCCCATGGGGGGCTCGAGAGGACCCTCCCCTAAACCACACAGTTATAAAAACCCTCACCCCTGCCCTGCTGGTGCTGAGCAGAGCCTGGTTGACATTTGATGCCACAGTTGACAGGAAAAAAGAATAGCACAGGGGTGATGTCTGGGGACGCCTCTGGAGCGGGAGGGGCTGGCTTCCAGACAAGGCCTCCAGGGGTGGAAAGGGAGAGCGTCTGCAGAACCCAGAGGGGACATCAGGACAGCTGGGAGAGCCTCCAGGGCAGGCGCAGGCCTGGCCCAGGGACAGTGTCAGGGAGTGGGTGGGGCTGAACTGAGGAGGCAGTACAGCCAGGGAGGGCCCTCAGGAGAAGACCTGAGGCCCTGTTCAGCCACAGTCCATGCCTAGGGCAGAGTTCTGCCTGCTTTGGGGCAAAAGCTTGGACCAGCAACTGCTGGGTGCCCAAGGATGTGGGGCTCTGGCCCAAAGGTCCCTGTGTCCTCCTTAGCCAGGTCACTGCACCACCACCGACAGTGGTAGAGAAGTAGCACCCAAGTGAGTTCCCCTTACAGGTCCACGTACCATCCCATTTAATCCTGTATTCTTATCCCCATAAGTTTTTTT